TCCTCAATGACTATGATTGTAAAATCTTATATTAATCGGGCAAGGGTAATATTATAGCTGACACCCTCAATAGGAAGAACACAGATATATTAGCTCATATAATGATTTCTGAGTGCAGGATAATAAAAGCTATGTAGCAGATACAACTCCAACATTTGAAAAGGGCCACATGTCTAGCCCATCTACAAGTTAAATTCGAATTAATTTAGAGAATAAAGGAAGCTCAAATGACCGATCCTACTTTAGCAGCTCTCAGGAAGGATACAGAACATGGTTTAAATCAGAATTCTGAGTCTTTGCTGATGGGTTGCTCAGGTTTTAGGACATATTATGTGTTCCAAATGACAGTGAAATGAAAAAAGATATTATAACAGAGGATCACAGCTCAAGATTCACCGTGCATTTGAAAAGTATTAAGATGTATCAAAGCATTTGACCCTGACTTTAGTGAAATGTGATGAAAAGAGAATTTTTGATTTCGTCTCTAAGTGTCTTGTATGTCAACATGTCAAAGTAAAGCATCAACGCCCAGACGGGTTACTTCAATCATTACCAATTCTGGAGTATACATGGGAACATATCACCATAGACTTTATAATAGAGTTGTTTAGGGCATGCTCAGGACATGATGCAATCTAGATAATTGTTGACCAACTCACTAAGTCCTCTCATTTTCTGGCCATTCGGATGATTAACTCCTTGGACAAACTAGTTAGAATCTATATTCGAGAGATAGTCAAGTTACATGGAGTTCCGGTGACAGTGGTATCAAACGGGGACCCCAGGTTCATATATCGATTTTGGACAAGTTTTCAGTAAGCAATAGGGATGAAACTGTCTCTTAGCACAACATTCTACCATCATACAGATGGATAATCAGAACGAACCATTCGTACACTGGACGATATGCTTATGGCTTATGTTCTAGATTTTAGAGGACATTGGGATGACTACCTACATATAATAGAGTTCGTCTACAATAACAGTTATCAAATAAGTATTGACATAGCTTCGTATGAGGCATTGTATGACCGACCTTATAGATCACCGATTTGCTGGAAAGAGGTGGAGGATAGAGAATTGATTGTATCAGATTTTGTAGATGAGACTACAGCAAAGATAGTTAAAATAAGGAGGAACATCCAGATAGCCCAGAACAAATAGAAAAGTTATGCAAACACCCAAAATAGAGATTTTGAATTTGAGAAGGGCGATCAAGTGTTTCTTAAGGTCACTCATTCAAGGGTATCATCAAGTTTGGAAGGAGGGCGAAGTTAAAGCCCCAGTTCATCGGACCGTTTGAGATCTTGGACAAGATTGGGACATTCGCCAACAGGCTAGCACTACCTCCAGAACTATCTAAAGTACATAATGTATTTCATGTATCAATGCTACGTAAGTACAATTCGGACCTCTCATACGTCTTGTCTTATTAACCACTTTCACTCTAGGAGGATTTATCATACAAGGAGGTACCAGTTAGTATTTGGGACCGGAAGAGCAGAATACTTTGTAATAGAGAAATTTCATTCATGAAAGTCCAATGGCAGAATCACTTGCAGGACGAGACTGCTCTGGAGTTGGAATCAGACTTCAAAACCCAATACTCTTAATTTTTTGACTAGTGAGAGAACGAAAAATTTGATAGACCAAATTTTTTTAAGGTGGAGAAAGTTGTAACACTGAGCTTCGGATAATTAAAACTATATTAATAATAAATTTAAAATTTTTAATTTTTAATTTTTCTTTGAAATTTTGAAGAAATATACATTTTGGGTGCATTTGAAAATAATTTTTAAAAGTTAGGGGCAAACTGAAAATAAGAAAGAACCTATTTGAAAAGAAAATTAGAAAACTGTGGAAGTGAAAAAAACAAAAAAATGACCATGTAGGATCACCATGTCAGCACGCGACTAGTCGACGTTCGCCGCATGGCAGATACGTTGATACGTGTCCACATAGGAAGCCATGGGGGAAATCCTCGTGTCAACCGATCCGACGACCTAGATTCACTCATACACACATGAACGGTTCAGATTTATTTTTCTTTCGGGTACGATCAAACGGTCTTGATGCATTCAATCGTGCGACCCTGATTTACTTTCTAAATAAGATGGATTTAACGGTAAAGATT